GGAGAAAGCTATCAATGAGACGGAGGTAAGTGCAGCCACAGGAGGCACCCACAACATCGGGGATTCCAGCCCCAGGGAAAGGGGTTCCCTTTGGAGGGCCCACAAAAAAGGAGAGTGGCGCGACAGCTGCCTGTGCAGCAGCAGCAGCAGCAGGCGGCCTTGGGTTCGAGAGCCGCACTTAATCCCGAAAAGCACAGGTGGCTCCTGCTCCACGACCTGTTGGTGCTCTTCCTGTCTCCGAGTTCCCTCTTTGGGGCAGGAGGTCAGTTCCCCAAGGTCACCTTGCTCCACACGGCATAGCCAGGATTTGTGGCCCTGCTGAATTCTACTGCCTGGTAAAAAGCAGCTCGAATATCCCTCGGGAGGATCTGCAGTGGTGGCATTCCCCATGGGAAGACGGCCAGCAGTGAGTGGCCAGGAGCCGAATGCTGGTTGCCTTTTCCCAGGTGTGGAAGAACGAGACGCTGGCTGAGCAGAACAAGCTGCCCCCCACCGCCAAGCCCGTTCTGCTTTCCAAAGACATTGAGGTGAAGATCGCAGGCTTGGATCGGGAGGTGCAGTACCTTCTCAATAAGGCCAAGTTCACCAAGCCCAAGAAGAGGGAGAATGGCAAGAGCCCCCCTCCCAAGCAGGAGACTCAGGAAGGTGAGCCGGAGCAGCCCTTGGAAGCCCTTCGGGTGCCTTGGCGAGACTGCCCGCTGGGGGAGGGGAGCGAGGGGGGAGGGCTGCCTTCCCTCTGCAGAAAGGTGGCTTCTGCTCTCCACAACTGCGGTTTTTTCTGCCAAGAGCAGATCGACCGGAAGATGCCAGCCCAGCCGAGGAGCCCCCCGTGGAGGAGGAAACGCCACTGGGCAATGAATTGGACCCAGACGGAGGTAAGGGAACCCCGATGGAGGAGGAGGAGGAGGAGGAGGAGGAGGGAGCCTTTCCTTGGGTCAGACTGGAGTCCAGGCACCAGATGTCCACTTTCACCCAGAGCCACAAGCGCGACAGCACAGCCGTGGCACTTACCTGTAGTCCTCGCTCACTGACCTTGTTACCAATGTCCTTGAAGATCTGTCCATCGCACCACCCCAGGGCCACGTGATCACAGTTTGCCGCCTCTCTTGATGGCTTCCCCCAGCCTAAATCAGTGAGGGAGCCATCAGGGAAGATCACACGTTGCTCTGGTCAGTTTCCCCAGCCTCCTTGGGCTTGCACTGACCCGCAGCCTCTTCTCACCCGTGCTAGCGCTGGGCCCTACTTCCCATGATCTCTCTGTCCTCATCCTTCCTGCAGCTCCACCCCCCTGCAGCACTCCCAAGCTTCTCACCCTGCCACTTCCCAGTTAATGACCCATTTACCTTGCAGTTAGGACAGTCATTGGTCATTGCAGCCACCTTGCTCAGTATCAGCTGTCCCCATCCCAAAAGCCATGGTAACCAGAAGAGGAGGACCTCTATCATTTCCAGCATGGTTAACATACCATGCGGATGATGGGGAAATGCTGGTTGAATGAATGTTGTGCAAAGCTGCATAAAGTGGGCTGGAACCGGCAGGAGCTGGGCACAATCTGGGCACTCTGCATCCCAAGGAAGCCTCTCTTGCTTGGCCAGAGATCACGTGGGGGTGGGGACAGTCCTCCTGCCACAGCAAAAGGCCAGCGGGAGGTTTCTGAGAATGTTTCCTGAGACGCTTGCGTCTGAACATTTAACATTGGGTTGGTTTTGTCTTTAACGTAGGCCCACAAACAGATAAGACTGCAGAAGCAAAAGAGACCAGAAAAAACGATGAATTATAACACTTCCTCAAGTCCCTGTGTGCATCATCAACATCTATTTATTTACAGTTAATTTTACTGTTTTTACGATGGACATGGTTAGTGGAACATGGCACAAACTGATGACAAAATAGAAATTGTATTTTTCCCCCTTTTTGTTTGGGGATTTTGTTCTTGCTCATTTGGAAATTTTGTGCTGTATCAACCCCTTTCTTTAAAGACGACTTTCAGCTCTTTGGAAATGTTTGCGATGTCTGACCCCAGCTTTTTCCTGGGATCAGCATTTTTCAGCAATGGATTAAATCTACCTGGATTTCTGTAGGACACAGTGCAGCATACCTGCTCTGGGCTCTGCTTTTGATGCAGAAAGCAGAGCCTGCGGCTCCTCCCTTGTCTGGAAAACCTGCTCATCTTACTCTCCGCCGGTGGCTGCTATCGCTGTCTTTGTTCTGCAGCTCCATGTCACAAAGTCAGGTGTAACATAAATGGGTAGGCAATAACGGTCTGAAAGAAGCCTTAATGTTCCCTGTTGTATCTGAGGAGGTAAAATACAAAACAGAACAGCCCACGCTGGCGCTGACACCAAGGGAGAGAACCGGTGTCTTCTTCCTTGCTTCTCCCTCCAGTTACTGCTGTGGCCACGTTTTGCCTCATTCTGTTCCTTTCAAGGGGCCTCCCCACAACTCCACTGCAGTCATGCAAGCAAAGGGTGCTCTGGGGGGGGGGGGGGGGGGGGGGCTGGGCATCCTTCGCTCCTAAAGGTTCCACCGTCTTGAGTTCTGGTAACCACTTTAACAATTCCGGGCATGATTCTTCACGGGGCAGTTTTTATTTCGCTCTCATGAGAGGGGACTAGGAAGCGGGCTCTTTTCCTTGAGGCAACCCATCTGGCTGCTGCGCTGTGTGAAGCTTCCCCGCAGTATGAAATGCCTAGCCTGCCTGGCAGGCGGAGGGAGGCCCACTTTGGCGCAGAGCGAGCGCTCCTAAGGCGGGAAGGAGCCCAGAAGGTTTGGTGGGTGGCCCCCCTCGGAGGGTGGAGAGGCCGCCCCCCCCCCCCCCCCCCCCCAACCACAGACGGGGAGAACCAACAGTAAAGCGCGCCGCTTGTCGTCGAGGCCCCCAACCCCCGCGGGCCTGCCTTCGCCCCTCCCCGGCCCCTTGGCTGCAGAGGCCCCGCCGCCCACCCCGGGCAACCTCCGTAGCCACCACAGGGCGCCTTGGAACCCGGCTCCCTCTCGGAGCCCGGGAGGCTTAAGGAGGCGCCTCGGGAGGTGGGGCCGGCCATTGGCCGCTGTTGCGCATGCGTAGAATGGAGCCATTTCTCGTAACTCGGGAAGCAGCGTTGGGAGGGAGTGACGTCCACCCTGGCCAATGGGCGGTGGGATGGCGCTCAGGAGGGGCGTCTCCGGCCAGGCGAGGGAGTGCGACCTTCTCCTGGCGGGGCGACGCGGGGCCGCAACCTCGTCGGGCTGGCCGGGGGCAGCCGCGGCTCTTCTCCGCCTTCGGAGGGCCCTTTTCTGGCCGAAGCGGACCCGGCTCCTCCGGTCGGCCTTGGCAAAGGGGCTCTGAGCCGGGCTCGCTGGAGGCTCTGAGCGGATCGGGCGAGGCTCCCGGTGCCAGGAGAGCCGGGGCTCCTGCGTGGCCAGAGGGCGGCCGCCTCCCGGGGGTCGCGCGGCCAACGCTCAGGCGGCTTTTGGCAAGAGGCTCCTGGCTGTGTCTTGCAACGGCCCAACCAGGATCAGATACGTCGGACAAGCAAAGCCAACGGGGAAGCCAGATTCGTTTAACAGCCAAGTCTCTCATTTAGCAGCGGCAGTGATTCGCTTAACGACTGTGGCGAGAAAGGTCGTGGAATGGGGCAAAACTCACTCAACAAGTGTCTCATTTAGCAACATAAATTTTGGGCTCAAATGTGGCAGTAAATCAAGGGCTGCCTGTCAAAGGTAGAGAGAGAAATTGGAGGCTGCAGCTGATCCAGAGCTTGCAGGGTGGATACACTGAGACAGGAAGACCTCAAGGAAGGGGCCAGAACTGGAATAAAACGAAATGTTTCTTACAGTCGGTCGTCCCCAACCTTTCATGGTGAGCCCAAGGGAGGAGGGGGAAACTGCTCTCCAAAGAGCCTCTTCCGGGTAATGGGGAAGGTTCCGGTCTAGAAAGCAGAGAATGGAGGTCCAGCCTGGCCTTAGGCAGGACTTTGGGCTCCTCCCTCTCCCTCAGCCGCCTTGTTGTCATCTTTGCTTTTGTTGGGCAACTTCTGTAGCCCTGTAATCTCTCTCCCTCTCCCGACATCACCGGCCAGGGAAAGCTGCGTATTAATAAGGATTAAGTATCCAGCAAATATTAGGTGGGAAATAATCTAACTGGGGTGAGAGCAGAAAATGTGTGATATTTTGCAAGGGTAACTCTGAAGAAGAGCTAGCTTGTCTAAGCAGCCTCTTCCAGGGGTTCAATAGCAAGAACCCAGGTATAAGAAGGCAACAGAGAGAGAGAGAGATTAGTTCTTCCAAGGCTTCGTATCAGTGGAAAGGCTGATAGACAAAATTTGTCTTGAGGGTTAATGTTTGGATCTCCTCCTTCCAGGCAAAAGGAGGCTTTGAGCCAAGGTGAGGGTGTCAGGAGAAAATGGAGCAGGTGGTTCTCCTCTGAAAGAGAGTCCCTTCCCCAGAGCATTTCTGCTGGCTGACTCTTCGTTCAGTCCTTTCCTTCTGGACAGCATTCCAGGTCCTCTCCGTGTCCTTTAAGGACCTTTGCCCTTTGGACCTGCTTACTGCTGGAGTGTGTTGAAACCAAATATTGAGGCTGCTGCTGGAACGGCCCAGTCTTTAGGCTGCAAGGAGAGCCTTCTGCACAGGGAGGAGGACGGTATAAATGCTTCTCGTCAGAGGCCAGGCGGACTTTATTTGCAAATGCCCACGCTTTAAACTGAAGTGTGATTCACACTTCCTTCACATCAATGGCTCCTCTGTGGCACACCTGCTACTTTGAGCAGGTAAAGGTCCTGGTATTTTGTTCTTCTGCCCATAAGATGATACATCTCGAAGGTGTAACAGAAAATTATTGTACTTCGGTTCTTACCTAGAAATGGGGAGGGGCTCTTGGTTTTTAATCTGCCTGCTGTACCCAGATGGTCTTGTGCCAAGTAGGTAAATATTTTTATGCTGAACTTGACTTCTCTGATGGGCAGCATTTGACCCGTGTTCTGTGTGTCTCTCAGCTTGCAGAAGAACATCTTTGAGCTCAGTGTGGCCTGCTGGGATCCAGGTGCTGTTCTGAAGGAAGGCAGGCGAGAGGGCCAGTCCTGACGCAGGAGGTTGCTTGTTCCAGGAAGACCTTGATCCGCTCTGTTTGATCTTGCACTATTTGAGTTCAGAGGTCAGAACAAGGGAGTGAAAAAAAAAAGCCTCGCTAATCTTTACATTCTGGACACAAACTCTGTTTATTACAAGTTGGCTCTGCAGGGGTTCCATTGTCGATGGGTGCATTTATACTGAACTCTGTGTCCAGCCTGGCCCTCAAGTTAATCATTCTCCAGAAAGCAGCCATGAGCACAGTTGAGAACAAGCCAGAACTTCGACAAAGCCTCTGCCCGGCAGAGACGCAGACAAACAATCAGGCAGCTGCTGGCTCCCTCTTTTGAACCCTTAGCTGCCACCCTTCCTCTCCCCTTGGTCAGCCACTCTGCTGGTGCCTGCAGTTTGGACTCTTAAAAGCAGAACAGCCTACTCCTTCCCTCCACTCTTTTTCTTAACGCTTGGAAGCACAAACCCACCCAGCAATGGCGGGAAAGAATTATAGCTATCACCGGTTTGTCATATTCACTGCTATGTATCTTGGGTACACCTTGTACTATTTCAACAGAAAAACCTTCTCCTTCGTGATGCCTTCAATCATGGAAGAGGTACGGTTGGACAAAGATGATTTGGGTGAGTTTGCCTCCCTCCCTCCCTCCCTTCCACTTATTTGGTCACGGGGTCCTTGGAGAGGGGATACTGGGGTACAGAACCCTTTTGAAGTTCTCAGAGGCCTCGTGCTAAGAGACTTGGGGGGAATTTGAGAACCAGCTTCATGCTTGGGACAGGTGTTCCTTTGCCATGGAAACCTGCTGCTGTTTCTCAGATGTTGTAGTTCTGCAGCCATTGTTTTAAGAGGCTACAATATTGGGACAATATTGAATAACTTTTATTTGGAGAGAAAAGAAATTCTATCGCCTGATTTGAGCTCGGTCTTTAACTGGAAGGGGCATAATGATTCTGGCTGCTTTAATGATGCAGGAAGAGCAAACTGTCTTTGTATTCATCGTGGCCACTCAGGGGCCACAGGGAGCCCATAGCCAGCTGTCCTCTGTGGGCAGAGCACCACTTCTTGTCTGAAATGGCTGTCATCCATGGCTTTTCTTCTCTCTGCCCTCCTTGTAGTCTGGACCCTGCCTTGCTCTTGGTTGATTCCAGTTAATGCGGCCTGCCTGAGCCCCTTTCAGGCCAGGCCCTGTTGGTCATGGTGTTGAGGTTTTCCTGGGGCTCTCATCCAATTCAGGTCTCATCGCCAGCAGCCAATCTGCCGCTTACGCCATTAGCAAGTTTGTTAGTGGGGTCCTCTCAGACCAACTGAGTGCCCGCTGGCTCTTCTCTTCCGGCCTCCTCCTGGTGGGATTAGTCAACGTGCTGTTTTCTTGGAGTTCTACCGTTGCCCTGTTTGCAGGACTGTGGTTCTTCAACGGGCTGGCCCAAGGCCTGGGCTGGCCCCCCTGTGGCAAAGTGCTGCGCAAGGTAAGAGAAGCAGCCAATTTTTCCCCCACAGAGGCAGCAGGTCAGGTTCTGGTCCCGGGGAAGCCACCAGAACATGGCCCCACCTGCGTAGCCCCTGGCTCTGGATCTCCTCATGCAGAGCCGCAAGCTGAGAACGCTTGGCTGATTTTCTGTGTTAGTGCTGGCAGCTTGCAGCTCTTTATCGGAACCAAGAACTGCCCTTGCAGCTGAGGGGAGGCAGAGGCCACACCTGGGCTCTCTGCTCGTCAGAGATGTCGTTTTTCTAGGAGGGGCTCGGATTGGCAAGGGCAACGGGAGCTATAAATTGCAAGCCATATCCTGTTGCTCTCAGGTATTTCTGGCATACTAGTCACCTCCTTTGGCCCTGAGCCAAGTGGCCTTTGGGGGCTGGGAGCAGTCTCAGCTGCCTGCCTTAAAAGACTGTAGGCCAAAGGCCAGTCTGATCCAGAACCTCCTTATCCAAGTACTTCTGGGAAACTCTTAATCCAGTGGCTGCCTCCTCCTGTTCAAGTTCCCTCACAGCTCGGCACTCAAAGCAGAAGACTAACTCATGACTTGAGCTCACTGATAACCCAGCAGTGAGCTTTCTGGGGCACCTGCTGCACTGCTTGACTTCATTTGTGTACATGAACTTGGAATGCACAGGTCCCTGTGTCTGTTGCCACTCAAAGGGTTTTTTGTTAAATGCTCTTGTCCACCGCTTTGAGGAAATTGTGCTAAGCAATTGATGCACTCCATTTTGCTTTTCTCAGGACTGTTTTGGGGAGCAGGGAAGTTTGTCCAGAAAACATCTGCTGCTCCTTTTTGGCCCTCACCACCCTGTGGTGGTGCTGGAAGTCTAAGCTCAATGTGAGGACCTGGCCTAGGCCTAAGCACCCACACAACCACCCTCTCTCTCTCTCTCTCCCTCCATCCCTCCCTTCTCTACAGTGGTTTGAACCTTCCCAGTTTGGGACTTGGTGGGCCATCCTCTCCACCAGCATGAATCTGGCCGGAGGAATTGGGCCCATTGTGGCAGCGTTGATGGCCCTGAGTTATGCCTGGCGCACCATCCTGGCCCTCTCTGGCTCACTGTGTGTGGTTGCGTCCTTGGTGTGCCTGCTCCTGATTAAGAATGAGCCTTCAGATGTGGGACTGCCCAACCTGGACTCTAAGCCCAAGAAAGGGAAACAAGGTGAGCATGTGGGAAAACCGGTCCCCTTGATCAGAGATGCCATCTTCAGGGCCACGAAAGCAGCCTTCTCGGGGGGGGGGGTCGTGTCCGCCCACCCCCCCCCCCCCCCCCCCCCCGGCCTTCTGGAACTAAATGGAAACTTTGCTGTGGTTTGAAGCCAGGGGACGCAGAAGTGTGTCTTCCATTTATATTGTTTGAATCCCAATTGGGGAGCTGTGTGCTGATCGGTGCAGCAAGGCTAATGTACCAACAAGCCCATCGGGCTCCCTTCCCCTTGAGGAGCAGAGGGGAAGCGTGGAGTCTTGAGCGAGGGCCAGGGCCAAGGAGGTGCCTGCCAAGGGAACGGTCAGATTGCCGAATGGTCTCTTTCTTACAGACTCCTCGAAGGATGATAGCACTTTGGCTGAACTGCTGCGTTCTCCCTACCTCTGGGTCCTTTCTTCTGGCTACCTGGTGGTGTTTGGTGTGAAGACGTGTTGTACTGACTGGGGACAGCTATTTCTCATTCAGGAGAGAGGACAGTCGGCCCTCGTGGGTAGGAGGCAGCGCCTTTCTCCTGGGGTTTTGAGAGCTTAGCACGTCCCAAAGGTGGACGCTTGGTCTGGGTAAGCCAGAGTCAATGTTCTGTGGAACTGTGGGGAGGCCTTTTGTGTGACTGGCCAGGGGAGGCGCCAGGAGTGGCCATGCCACAGGCAGGGATGCAGCCTCGCTGGAATTGCCACTGTGCTGTTTGCTCTTAGGCAGTTCCTATATGAGCACCTTGGAAATTGGGGGCCTCGTGGGCAGTATTGCTGCTGGTTACCTTTCGGACCGCGCAGTGGCCAGGGTAAGCATGAAGGAGAAAGGGCAACCCTGAAAACCCCACACAGCCTCCGCCTGGATGACGAGACAGAGGCGGTTTTGTCTGGGCTGGGTTGACAGACCTTGTGCAACAGGGATGCTGCACTTCATTTTGGATCCACGCGTGTGTATTGCAGGTGGGCCTCTCAATCTACGGAAACCCTCGGCATCCCCTGCTCATCCTGATGATGGCCGGCATGGCTGCCTCGCTGTTCCTTTTTCGAGTCACAGTAACTGATAGCTCCTCCAAGGTAAACTATAGGAAGGAGGCTCAGTTATAGAAGACTGGCATTGAAGGGGGGGCAAAGCTGTTGCTCTCCAGGAGGGAATTGGTTTTTCCCCCAATCCCATCTCATTTCTATTGTCACCTGTTTGAGTAGATAGTGAGAGGTGACCATTTTGAAGGCTTTTACCTTCAGGTAAATGGCACATGTGAGGATTTCCACAAGTAGAATGAATTGCGGTTTTTAGAAACAAATTTTAATGGAACAAAGTGAAGTTTTGCAACTTTCAGGGAAACAAAACTGGGTATCTGAAATCAGGGTGAAATCCATTTCCTGGATAGATTCTTTGCATCCTGAACTTTTGGCAATTACAAGCCCATCTATTGAAACCAGGATAGACCAGTTATCGGTTCATCCCAAAACTGTGGCGTTTCCTCTGGCTTCAGCTCAAAAGGCTGATAATTCGAAGGATGGGGATGATGATGTCCCAGTCAACGATGATGGGGTTAATAGGTTTCCATTAATTTAACATTTTTAGCTAGAAAAGTTACTTTGGAAAATTGCTGGTAAGGGTTTTTCTTTTCTTGGGTCTCTGCTTCTGCATACAATTATTACTGTGTTTTGTCTTTTCCAGACACTCTCATGCTCCTTGCTCATTTCTTCTTTTTTTTTCCAGGGAAATTATTCTTGGAATCAGTTCCTCTATCCTCTGGCTGATCTTGTGGGTTTTACAGAACATGAGGTCTTTGCACATTCTCTCTCTCTCTCTCTCTCTCTCTCTCTCTCTCTCATTTTGTTGCTTCAGCCACTGACTTGATGCCAGATGCAGCGTCATTAGCAGTAGCTGCTAGCCATAGAAGTAGGAGACCTTCCTCTGCAGAGCTGCAGGAACAGTTCTCCTCACTCTTTCCTAATTATGCTATCCTTAGATTGTAGTGAGACGACCGAGGTTTGATATTTTAGTACCCTGATCTAAAAGTTATCTTAAAATAGAAGTTGACTGAGGTGCTGTTATTTCTCACTTTCTTAGTGGATTATTGAGAAGCAACACATGCTGAAGATTAAACATTGCTGTGCTTCATCTAAGGCACCATTGTGCAGACAGTGATGAGGAAAAGGAACAATAGTAGGGAAAGTTGCCCTAATCGTCCACCTAACCTTTTGTCTGGCTCCGTTTTCATAGCTCTGGATCCTGCTCTTAGGAGCTGCCTTTGGGTTTTGCTCTTATGGATCGATTGCACTGTTTGGCGTCATAGCCAATGAGAGCGCACCATCCAACCTGTGTGGCACATCTCATGCCATTGTTGCCCTGATGGCGAACGGTATGTGAAAACGTAATTGGAACCGATTGAGGACAAAAGCCCACCTTGCACCCTGTAACGCTCTCTCTCTCTCTCTCTTTTCAGTGGGAGGCTTCCTGGCCGGGCTGCCTTTCAGCACGGTGGCCAAATACTACAGCTGGGGAACAGCCTTCTGGGTAGCGGAGCTGATCTGCATAGCCAGCACTGCGGCCTTTTTCCTTCTGAGAAATATCTGCACCAAGATGGGCCGCGTGCCAAAGAAAGTGGACTGAAAGGCCTCACGATTTGGCTGCAAAGGAGCCTCCTTCGTCCACAGCCAGGACTTCAGGAAGAAAAATTGGGGGGGGGGGGGGAGCGCTAAGCAGGTTGACTGACTGCCTTTATCAAGTGGTGGCAAAATCCCACCAGGTTGTTACTGCCAGCTCTCATCCTTCAAAACATAATGGAGGCCCTTAGTAGTTGGAACTCGTGAGCAAACATTGGCCTGTCCCAGCCTCTGCTGGGCTCACTGGCGGCAGTGGGAGCAGAGCAGCTGAATGGAAGTTTCACTTTGAGGAATTGCTTCGCTCAGGCACACATACAACCCCCCTCGGGTACCTGTTCTCATTTCCTATGTTAGATTTTCAAGTGACATTTCACAAATCTTCTCTCCCCAAATTACACTCAGGTATTACCAAACAGGAAATAAGTTGGAAAAGAAGGGAGCCATATTCTTGCTGTTTAGCTTCAGTCAATAGCAGGTAAGCTTAGAAGTGGACTAAAAACTACTTTTAGAATTTGAAAAAGAGTAACCCTCAGAGTTGATCCTCGGTCAACAAAAATCAAACTTTCACAAGTATCAGTATAGACTGAGGGTTCGATGCCCCATGTCTTTAATAAAAGGAAAGCAGTGTTTAAGTGCTGGGGTTGGAACTGCCTAACAATTCTGCAGCCATGAAGATCTCCAGATGTAATCAGATGCCTTTAGGGATATATCTTGCTCCATTTACTATAATAACTTCTAAATTATGACTGTTATATGTTATATACAAAAATAAAGAAATGTCCAGTAAAAGCTGTGTGTCCCTTGCTGAAGAGTTGCTGGGAATCAAGTAGCATCTGCCATAATAACACCACCTGCCTATCCTGGGTCTTTGGGAAGGATTTAATAAGTGGGGAAAAAATGACAAATTCAGTCGAAACCTCTGCCTGATTGAGCAACCATCTTAACAAATGTTGTTGGATGTCAGTTTATCCCCAAGTCAGGTTTAAAGTCTTTCTTTAAAGAATATTTTATTTCCACATGCAATAAACAAAGTGCCAAGCATACATTAAAGACACACACAAGTAGCCAGCACGTTTTCCTTCTAACTTTCAGCAGCAGAGGTGGTCCAAACAAGGATGGGGAAGAGGGCCAACTGGAGTTGCTAGGAAGCCTTTCTGGTCCCAAGATCCAAGCAGTCCCTTGGGCAAGTGAAGTGGAGGAACTTCACCCTATAACCCTGGCACAAAGGGCCCTGCCTTCTCTGCCACCTCCAGTGCAAGCTTCAAGTTTTGATCAAAGAGCTCACATCTGAAATGGTAGAACAGAAGCAGGCTTAGAATAAAAGGCCACCCTTGCTCATATGGCCACATTTTTCATTGTATCTTTACCAAATATTTTTTTTTTTTTCATATTGTCCCTTCATACTTGTTGGGATATGCTAAAATATAAGATGGTACATAAAAGGCTGCAATGCACCTGAAGAAAAATTCCCTTTTCATTCTTACTTGCAAATCTTGTGTATGGATAGATTGACACTATGGAGGAAAGCAGGAAGAAAAGCAGCAGGTTTCTAGCAACACCCGGGACTTCCAAGAAAGAAAGCAGGAGGGGGAAACAATTGGGGGGGGGGGGTTCGGAGGCTTCCTCCCCCAGGCCGGCGCACCGCTCAGGATCAGGCCAGCCCCCCGCGGGCCTTCCTGGGAATTGGGGGGGGGGGGGCTCGGGCGCACCTGATCGGCATCTCCAGGGAATAGAAGGGGTTTTTCAGGGCGAAGTCCGAGTAGATCTCGTAGATCTTGCGCAGGAGGGCCTCGATGCCGGCCTGCCGCGGGTCAGCCAGCACTACGAACTTGATCCCTGCGGAGGGAAGGCAAGGCAAGGCAAGGCAAGGCAGGGAGGGAGGGCGAGACTAACCCGAATCCGAACCCTCGGCCCGGCCCCGGCTACCTGTCAGCGTCTGGAAGCAGTGCAGCTTGAAGGTGTCCGTCTCCAGCACCTCGATGCCGGAGCTGCCCTGCTCGGGGGAGAGCTGCGACCCGATGGCAAAGAGCCTGCGCGACAAGCAGGGGCCGGTCGGTCGGGGGTCGCGCCCGGGGCCCCCGCCCGCCCGCCCGCCCTCCCCGCCGACTCACGAGTGGAACATGGAGGCCAGCATCAGCTTCTCGTTAGAGGAGAGCCGCGGGCGGCCGAAGCGGATCGCCACCGGGTAGTTGGCAGGGTTGCCCAGGAACTCCTGCACGTCCTTCCCGTCGGCGGTCAGGCGCCCGTTCACGTCGGCGCCGTTGATGGCCAGCACGGCGTGGCCCACTGCGGGGAAGGCGGCTCAGACGGGCGGCCTCTCCCCGCCCCGCCGCCCCCGCCGCCGCCCCGCCGGCCCCTCACCGCGGATGCCGTCGCGCTGCCCGAAGGCCACGAGCACGCGCTCGTCGTGCGCGCGCAGCACCAGGTCCAGCGGGAAGCTGAAGGTCTTCTCGGCCTCGGCCCGCGGCGCGTAGTGGTCCAGCTGGTAGACCAGCCCGCCGGCCTTGTTCACCACAAAGACGCTGAAGATGGCCATCGCGGCCCCCGTAGGTCTGTGGGGTGGGGGGCACGCCTCTTCCGGTGCCGACCGGAAGTGCGCTAGGCCGCGGGGTTTCCGGCCTGCGCGGACGGCCGCCTTCCTTTCCAGCAGGAAGCCGCCCAAGAGGAGCACGTTGCCCCGCCAGCTGCGCCATGGTAGGTAGGCCCCGGGTTGGGCGGGACGGGTAGGTGGCTGGCCGGCCGGCGGCTGACCCTTCCGGCTCTCTCGCTTCCCCGCAGCCGCCCAAAGACGACAAGAAGAAGAAGGACGCGGGCAAGTCCGCCAAGAAGGACAAGGACCCCGTCAACAAGTCCGGCGGCAAAGCCAAGAAGAAGGTGGGCGCCGGGCAGGCCGGGCGGGAAGGGAGGGGAGGCCGTGGGCGGCCCTGACGGACTTCTCTCCCCGCGAGCAGAAGTGGTCCAAGGGGAAGGTGCGGGACAAGCTGAACAACCTGGTCCTCTTCGACAAAGCCACCTACGACAAGCTCTGCAAGGAGGTGCCCAACTACAAGCTCATCACGCCCGCCGTGGTCTCGGAGAGGCTGAAGATCCGAGGGTCGCTGGCGCGGGCTGCGCTGCAGGAGCTCCTGGGCAAAGGTGAGAGACCGGAGGCGCCCCGTTCTTCCTGCAGGAGCCCGGCTGTGGGCCCTGAAAGATTAGAGCCGACCGCTGCCCCCGCTTCCCCCAAACGCTCCTGCTCGCTCCGTTTCCTAAGCTTCCTGATCCTCTGACGCATTTCCTCCTGGCAGGTCTAATTAAACTGGTCTCCAAGCACAGAGCACAGGTCATCTACACCCGAAACACCAAGGGAGGTGATGCACCAGCTGCAGGAGAGGATGCTTGAGAAGTTGACCCCAGATAACCAGTACAGTTCTACACGGGACTGACTACATTGCATCAGAAAGATCTAATTTCTTCTTTGGTTTGGTTTGCAAATTCTTAAATGGCTTTCAGAGTTACTTGTATACACAAAAAAATAAATTGATTAAACTCCTTGAGGCTTTGTAATGATCTGAACAAGTGCCAATTATTATGCAAGGGGTAAAATGGCTCTACTGTTTTTGAATAGCAAAAAGTTTTGCAGAATTTGGGTACACGAAAGTAAAATGTTATTAAAACATTGGTTGTATAACCATGTGGGCAGTGCAAGTATGCCAGCTAGTGTCTATCTTGATAAGTATGAACAACTTGAATAAACAAGGGATATATAGAAAGTCATAGATGAGCTCCTAACTTTGATGCAATATTTTCTGCAATCTCATATTTGCTTTGTGGATCTTAAGACAAATGCACTTTGCTTTTAATATTTTGTAGTAGCACACATTTATTGGTAACCATAGTTTTTAGTAAAATTCATATATAATTATAATAGTTTTATTATAATAAGTGTAATTGAATAAAATTACAATTACATGCTTAATGCTACAGGAGCAGAGATTTCACAGAAGCCACCACAGCAGAAGTCTTCCACAATAGCCGCTGGGCTTCTTTTGATTAAGGTGCTTTGAATTCTGCCAAGCTGCCTTGGGGATGCAGACCTTTTAGCTGGTTTGGGGCCTTTTCCTCTTGGACCCAGGTTGCTTATTTCCAGATTCAGCTTTGAACTGATGTCTAGAAAAAAGCAGTGCCGAGGAGCACAAGTTGAAACATCAAGGGCAGAAACTAGACAGGCTGGATTTCTTCTACTCTTCTGCAATGGGGGCTTCCAGCACACATACAAATATCTTCTGGCTATATATTTTATTCGTTATGCATTTCCAGGGCACACTTTGGGGGAAGATGGGCAGCCATGCAAATGTAATGTGTTGATATTCACAATTGTTGAATTTGGGGAGCCAGAGAAGATTCCAATAATTTTGTTATCAGTTAAATTAATAAAGTGGAATATATGAAATGAGCCAATACATGTTACCATAAGCAACAATTCAACAAATTCAGTATCAATAAATGAGAGGATGTCTTGGCAGCCAGGCCCAGACCGCTTCCCCCCCCCACACACACACTGCTGTCTCTAGCAGTACAGGGGAGAGATGAAAGTCTTCTAAATATATTAATGGCATTCTTCATTGTTGCTTCTGGCCTTCTCTGAGGAAGGCATGTGTTTACCTGGATTGCCATCTTCTACCATGATTCCAAACACGCCCAAAGGAGGGGAGCCAACCATCTCCTGTCTGAGATGAGTGGTCAAAGTTGGCCCCAACCCGGTTCGGCGGGAGCTGCTTCAGTTTCTGCTTCTGTTCTTTAAAGACAGAACAAAATGTTGCATCATTCTTTGCTCAGTTCTTCCTACTGAACCCCACAGGGCCTAGCCCTTGCACACTCACTTTCCTTAAGGAATTCCTCATAGGAAGGTCCAATCTGCCTTTCACCTTCCTTCTCGTCATTCATCAGCCAGGGAGGTTTTGCTCCTCAAGATTGAAAGGTGGACAAATCAGAAAAGCCCCATATGTTTCTTTTCATGTGCCCAAGTTATATTGACCATAATGATATGAGAACAGCTATTTGTGAAATGCTCAAGGATTCAACTGCATCTGCCATACCACCATGTATAGCCATGCAGCATGCAATTTATGGTTAGCCTCATTTTTAAGGTTTGTACGCACATTAAATTAAATAGTTGGCAAATCAGTGTTTCACTCTATTGTTTCAGTATAGAGATTCTTTTCCCCTCGCAAGCCAAATGTCCATCACAGGCAAAGCCAGGCTCAGCAGTCATTTCAGAAAGCCGACTCCAACCTACCTGTGTGAATGTTGCCCTCCCCACCTGTTTCCTGCATTTGAAACAATGAAAGAAAAGCTCAAATTAGTACTGTAGGGGACTGGGGACCTGAAAAAACCCACATGTAAAATTGCAAAGGGGGTAGTGAGTCCAGCAGCCAGAAATATCAGCTCCCCAGTCCAGTGGACAACATCCCTTTTCCCTCTTTAAGATTCTTGGGAAACGGAGGATACAAGATAGGAGACTACACCCAGGGCAGAAGCTCACTGCTTGGTTGTCACTTAGGCTGCTAAACATGAGAGGCAAGAGGGAATTCCTAATGGAGTACCTGGTGGCCAATGAAAGTTAAGGCCTGCCCTGTTTCTGGGTAGTGTAGCTCAGGCATAGTGTTGCTGGTACAAATACGCTCTTCTCGAAGAAAAGTGGTGCTCCAGCTTGGCCCAGGCTGCTCCTGCTCTTCCATAGCAAAAGGAGAATCACTACAACATAGAACATTTGTCAGCACAAGCAAAACAGACTCGGCACCAAGATCATGTGAAGAGAATATTGCCAGGAATAGCACAGGGATACAGAAGCAAGAAGGCCTCTGATTTAAGGTAACTCCTACCTTAAATTCCCTGTAAAGGTGTAGACAACAGTGGTTCCATCACCTAGCATGTCCGCTCTCTGTGGCTGAGTTTAATTCAGGAAAAACACACTTGTTTCAAGAGACAACATATTTTGCAACATAGGATACACCTTGAAAAGTAATCTGGAGAGTGTTAAGATGGAGCAGATTCCACTAAATCACTCAGGCACAGATGCCAGTAAAAGAAATACCCTTAACCCAAGAGCATTTTCCCAGTGGAAAAAATTAAAAAGGAATTGTTGATAATAGAGTCAAACTACAAAGCTAATTTCCAAATTACTATATAATACCTAGGACAGAGCACAAGTAATACCTTAAAACCTCTGAACCATTTTGAGTTATCCAGAGGGGGAAGAAAGGGGCTCAGCAGGGAAGGCTGCCACAAAGAAATATAAAAAGTCGGTAAGTGGGGGAAAGAGGGGAAAGGTCTTGTGCCAAGAAAGGGCATTTCAGCACCTATAGTCGCTTTACGAATGATTTAAACTGGAACTAAGTAAAAAGTAAAGCAAAACCCCAATGCCTGGCACGATACCTCCTGGCATAAAGGGGTTTGGGAGGAGATAAAACATCCACTATACTTGCAAAGTCTGGTATTTTCTGGGGAAGAGGAATTATCATTTCCTGAAGTTGGCAAATGGCTTTGAGTTTAACTGAAGGGGGGGAGAAGACAGGGAAAGAAAGGGAGCTGAGTGGGAGGATTCTGCAGAAACCATTGTAAACACGATGATGGATACTGCCCACTCTGAACTTGGGCACACAAACCTCTAAGATGGCCTGTACCATCTCTCGTCTCTTCTGTTCCATGTCTCGGATGTGAGCTGCAGCCTGCAATGAGGGAAGATGGGATATAAAGAGGAACTCAGAGCTGAAGCCAGGCCCTTGTCCTTCCCTGAACCACTTGGATTCCCCTGCACCCCCAAGTTCTACCTCCTGAATGGCTGCATCTTCCTTCTCTTCATAAGCATCCAGGGCTTCGCAAAGAGATTCTTGGAAGCTGGAAGTGCAAAGCAGCCCATCACTCTGGGCAGCAAGGGCCATTGTTGCAGAGGTGACTGCTGATGGCATGAAGACACAGTCTGGGCTCTCCAGAGGCTGGCACAGCTCCCTGCCTCCCTCCTCAGAAATGTGCCTTTTAAGAATGGCTTCACAGACTGGCACAGGAAGGCTACCAACTCCTCCTAGAACGACCTTAGACCAGCCGATCTCCCTTCGCCCGGGTGACAGCCCAGCGAGTGGAGGGACGGGACGGAACGACGACGACAGCGCCACCCGGGAAGCAGGCCGACCGGGGCCACTCACCGTCGGTACTCCGCCGCGGACAGCAGGTAGTCGGCCTTCAGCTTGGGGTCGGCCCTGTTCTTCCTCCAGAAGGCGGCCACGGCTCTCCCATGCTCCGGGCTGCGGAGAAGCCAAGAGGGCGTCGCTCGGCCGCCGGGGAGTCCCGGCGCAGCAGCCCCCCGCCAGCCCGCCAGCCCGCTGCTCACCTGGCCAGGTGTTGCAGGAGGCCGCCGTGCAGCACCGTCCGCGCGCCGCGGCTCAGGTGGCTCGGGACCTCGCGCGCGCAGCAGGGGCACCAGACGCGCCGCTCGTGTTCGCCGGCCTGGAAGGGCAGCACCTCCGCCCGCCGCGCCGCCGCCCGCGCCGCCGCCACCTGCCCGGGGGAAGTGGGAGAGCCGTCAGTCGCGCCCCCGGCCGAGCCGGACCCGGCCGAGCCGCCCGCGCCTGCGCACCTTCTCGCCCAGCCGGCCCAGGACAGCGCGCAGCCGCCACCGGTGCCCCGCGCTGTACAGGTGGCTCCGGCGCCCGTCGAAGGCGCTGCGGCGGCACAGTTGGCATCGGAAGACCGTCGCCGTCCCGGCCGCCATCTTGCTGCGCCGCCCCGCAGTGACGTCAGCGCCCTGCGCACCCCGCCCACTGCTCGGTGGCTCTGATGGGAGGGGAGGGGCCTCCCGCCGAGCTGCTGCTGGCTGCGGCCGATGGGCCTCAGGGTCCTTCCAAGCAGCAAAATCCTGTCTCGCTAAGCGTCCCCCGCGGCAACACGGAGGAGGGGCGCATATAAATCAACTCCACGGACAATCACACCGCGTTGCTCTTTGAAGGCGTTTATTGGGTTAGGGAGATTCTTCTCCAGGTTGAGAAATGAGAGAAAGGGGCTCGATTCGCTTTTACTGCTTCAAAGAGAAATTCCAACACCAAACCGAGTGAGGATCTCCTTCCCTTCTTTCAGGCTCCGGTCAGAATGAAGCTGCCTTGCTCAGTGTCTTCTGGCCGAGGGCCAAGCAGGCGATGACCAGAGCCTCACGGGTTGCCCGTGCCTGGAAAATCCAGCCTCTTCCCTCGGGCTAGATTCAAATCCTCCTTGGGAACTAACTCCTTGGGTGAAATGGCCACCTCTGCCAGACTTCCACACCGAGGATCAGAGGCCAAAGAGAGACCGCATTAATTCTGGGGAAGGGAGATGAGGCTGTGGGTTCACCAGGTCTGCCAAGAAACCCCATGGCAAGGGATCTGGCACTGCCAGGTGGTTCAGCTCACTGCAGAGAGGAGGATGGGTCCAATTTCTTCCTCAACCAATCCTTCCTGTGGGGAACACACACACCCAGCTCCCCCCACATCCAACAAGGGAGGAGGAGGGAAGGGCTTTTGCTCTCTGGGGGAAGGCCCACCTGGCTTGTCCATGCTCTGGTGCACCAAGCCCATCATATCCTCTGGCAGGGCCTGCGCCTCCTCCTGAAACTTCCGCCTGCCCTCTGTGGTTAACTTCCACAGGCGGGACTTGCGGTTCCCTTCAAGGCAAACGAAGTCTGTTGTCTTCTCAAAGCTGCTGCTGAAGCAGAGGTTGTGCCGGACAGTGTTTTTCCAGCCCTCGGGAGCGGTGCGGAAGAAGGGGAAGTGGTGCCTGCCAAGGGGGCAAAGGGCCAGCATCCCAAGCATCACGCCCTGGCAAGGGCCAGGCCCACCTCCACGGGCTCACCGGTGGCCAGACTAGAATGCCCCACCTCAAAGGAGCAGGAAGCCCACTGCCACAAGGCCACCGAGAGCAGGAAAGGAAAGCCCTCCCATCCCCAGCACCCTGCCGTATGCCTGGTGCTACTCACAGCTGCAAGAGCCGTACCTGGTGAACTTGTAGATCTCCTGCACCGTCAGGCTGCTGTCCACACTGCTGCTCAGGGCAAGGCTAATCAAGATACAATAATTGAGAGGGGGACGAGGCCAACTCCCCTGGGCCAGCAGCTTCCTGCTGCGGGATTGGATCCCTTGTGCATTCTGGCATGCATGGGGGGGCCTCTGGGAGTCCTCTTTTGGAAGCAGGGTAGTTTTGGCTTCAGGGGCACTCCCAGGATCCTGGCAAAAGACGGGCACATTTGAACTGATGGGAAATAAGTGCAGGAGAGAGGCCAGCAGAAAGAGGAACTTTCTAGGCAGAACTTTCTTCCCACTTTTGTGCTTCAGCAACTCTCCGTGAGGAGGGAAAGGTGGAGGACCGGTTTGAAACTTAATCAGGAAGGCTGCCAAGGAAAGGCAGCTTTTGCAAAGCCCCCACCCAGCCTAAAGGCTCCCAGCTGCACCTGGCCAGCCGGAAGACCCCGACGCCCCCCCCCCCGCACCCTCCAAAGTTTCTAGCCCAGCCTGAACAGCTCGTGGAACCTCTTCTCCCGGGCGGGCGTCTCGGAAGCGGGCTGGGGTGCAGGACGGAACCTCTGGAGCAGCGCGGGGACGAGGCCCAGGCAGGGGCGGCAGCCCCGTGGCGTGTCCAGGGATAGGGCAGACGAGGTTGGGGTCCACCCACATCCACAGGTGCGGCTTCCCGGCAGTCTCTGCAGGGGAAGAAACAGCCAGGCGTCGCTCAGCAAGGCTGCCGCTCGCCCCAAAACCGCGGGACGGAAAGGCGGCTCTGTCGCCTTGCTGCTTTATTCCGGGGGTTTTGAAGCAAGGCCAGGACCCCAGGCGGGGCCCTCCGTCCCTCCTCGCTTACCACGAGCCCCCGAGATGGAAGGGCAAGGGGCCTCGGTTGGCCCACCGGCCGCCTGGTAGAGCCGCGCCGTCGGGAGAGCCTCGTCAGCAACTGAGGGGAGAGGCGGTTAGGCGCTGGCCTCCGGCCGGGACACGAAGGCGCCGCGGTCCCGCCCTCGCCCTTCCCTGTGACGGAGCCTCGTCCAAAGGGACGGCCGGGCCGAGAGCGACCCGGGCCACCCGCCGCCCCTCGAAAGACGCGGGGAAGGGGAGTGAGCGGGCGGGGCGGCTCCAGCAGGGGCCGCCTCACCTGGGGGCAGCTGGTCACAGGTGGCGTCTAGGGCCAGTTCTCGGGGCAGGTCCCAGCCCTGGAGGCCGCTCCGCAGGTGGAGCTGGGCCCAGAAGGCCGGTCTCCGCAAGCGCAAGTCCATCCGACAATCGTGCGCACCACTGCGCGGCCCGGAGGTTTTCGGCGAGCCGGGCGGTCCTGGTGCGCTCGTCCCTTTAAGCGCTCCCAGCCGCGCCGCCGCCGAAATTGCATTCCTGGCTTCTGGTTTGGGGGGACGGTATGAAAAGACGCAGTCTGCGAGCGAGGGTCTGGGAGAAGCTCTGTGGCTTCCTTCCCTTTTCACACAACCATTGGGTCTCAACCGAGATAGTTGAGATATTGTGGGAACCCAGACTCTACACTTGGCCGTGGTTTTGACATTGTATAAGCTTGGAAACTTGGGTTCATTAAACCATGGTTCAGCTAATCATGAATAAGTGTGCCTAGGAACAGAATTTATGTGTTTCTCCCATTAAAGCTAATTTCTGCCCATTAGCCCCAGGAATGTGCAAGGGCAGGGGGGTGGCCAGGCAAAGACCAGGTGGTCAAGGAAGGGCAACCCCACTCTGGAGGAGGGAGGGAGACAGAGAGAGACGCAAAGCTGCCTTACTGTGCCAGATGAGCAAAGCTTATTGTGGGTGGGCAGGAGCAGGTTTTTGCAGCCCCTTCAAATTGCTGGGACAGTTTGTCTTCTGCGTCTACCTTCTTCCACCAGGTGGATTTCGTGTCCCAAGTCCAGGCTTCCAACCCTCTTAAAATAGAGGGCTCATCCCCTCCCCCTCCACCCAGCCAGAGACAGAGCTGGGCCCAGCTATGACCTCTTTGTCAGGCCAAGCATAGAGCAGGTCCCACCTCTTATCCCCTGAGGTGAGAGGCCCTCTCTCCTTCTGCTCCCTGCTGGCAAGTTGTCAGGAAGCAAAGGTGGCTAGAGTCGTCCCAGCACTGAGGGCCCAGCACTCTGCACATGTCCCAGGCAAAGAATCCTCTACTCCCCCCATTCACAGAACAGGCCATTTCTCTAGAGAAGGGGAGACAAGGAAGTTGTAACCTCAATGAGCTGCAGTGCATTGTCCACCTCTTTCCCTCCTGGACGACCTGTGACCCTAGCACAAGCCCTGAGACCATCCCCAAACTTCCACTGGCGGCACACAAAATGGGGGGGGGGGAGGTGTTTGCCTCATGGGGGCCCATTCAGAACACAGAGCTGCACATATTGTGTGCACACAGTCATTTGGCTGTTGAACTAGCCTATTTTCTGGACTGATTCACAACAAACCTATCCAAGATAAATATGGTGCGCAGAGGCCACCACAGTCACACAGACTGTCTAGATCTATATACAGGAGGTCAATTCAGGGCGGGCCATTGTTCTATGGGCTGATCCAATGCCTGCATTTCAACAAGCACCATCACTGAGAGGAAGGGGATAGGAAAAGGTCTCATGATCAAGTAGAGGTGCAAAGACCTAAATACCTCCTAAGCCTGAAAAAAAGAAAAGGTGTTTTTAAAAAATTACCCAAATGTGGACAAATTGAAAATGGATTGTGTTTACTATGATGTCATTTTATATTTTATATGATGCATAAAATGACTAAGATGCAGGAGTAGTTCTGTATTTGGAGCAAATGAAATACACCACAATGAATATGTAAAAAGATAAAAAGAATTTCTCTTAATAGAGGTAATTTTTCAGTTTTCCAAAATCACTAAAAATGAAAGATTCAGAGGAAGTATAAAAAAAAGTAGGTAGTACATCATCTCATATGACAACTGTGTATCCTGAACCTCGCCCCTTCCTCAGATTTTCTCACTGAAAGTCAGTCAAATGGAGTCCAAATTCAGACTGGCCACCTTCTCTGGGCTGAGCCTGTCTCCGTTTTCAGACTTGGCTTTTTCTCCACTTGCTTCTCTTACACAGTGAAATAATAATAATGAGGTGCTATGCACAGCTTAAAACATCACTGGTCATAAAAAATTTAAAGGATATAAAAGAAAACTATTAATCCATGATTATGTTGGTCTTCTATTATGTATGTATGTATGTATGTATGTATGTATGTATGTATGTATGTATGTATGTATGTATGTAGTATTCAGCTTTGTTCTGGTAATTTCCCACGTCATTATAGTTGTGCTTTTAAAAGTTGTAGCAACGTTTCAGCAGAATCTCATCTGCCATCATCAGGCTTCTGTATTGTGTTCGTCTGTGAGTCAGCCTTTTCTGTTTTAAATTTGGGGCTAGCCTACTGCTGTGCCAGAATGGTTTTTTCTTCATCCTGATTGGTTGGGAGTCTTGGTCTGTGTTTATTGGTCTTGGAGTTTGCTGTGTTCTGCTTCATTGGTGTTTCTAATATCTTCTGTTTGTTTTGTAGCTTTTTTGTCTTGATTGGCTGACAAAATTGTGTTCCTGTATTGGAGGCTTTTAGTTCGGCTTGGCTCCAAGTAAATGGACGGCTATCATCTATTAGGAAGCTAGGTTTCATCTGGGTGCCTGGTTGGAGTGTGTTTGAGCTGGAGGTATCAGGGGGGATCTGTTTGTGCCCAGGTGTTTGCCTGGCTTGTGGTGTGGAGATTTTTTTGTTTGTGAGTGCAGGCTTCCAAATAATTGACAGTCTGGTGGAATCATCTCTTCTATTCTATTCTATTCTGTAGAAGAGATGATTCCACCAGACTGTCAATTATGATGAGTAAGGTAAGGAGCAGGTAAGGAGCACTTTGTTTCACCTGCTCAGTTTCAAAATGTGAAGCTGTGATGCCCCATTTGACCTGGATTTTTGGTTTAGGGTTTGTCATGTTTGGGGAAGAAACTCCCCACCACCACCCAGAGATTGCTTAGACTTAGAGAAAGCTTCAGGTCATGCCACCCCCTCCCCAAGGTAGGGCCATACCTGGTGCTCTGCCTTCACAAAGCAAGGTTGAGGTTCTGGATCCTCACATTCCCACCTGGAGCCTGGAGCAGCCGTTGGAGGCTGACAAGGGCAGGCCATCCCACTGCCTCTGTGCCCTCAGCTGACAGGGCAGAGCTGCAGCAGCAACAGGGCCGGGAGTGGCCTCCTTCCTTGCAGACCTCTCCTCCACCTGGGAGTGGATGATGGGGGTTTCCTCTCTCCCTGACTTCCTGCACTGTACACTTGCTGCTTAGCAGGCTGTGGTTCACTGTGTCTATGGAAACCATTAGTTGCCAGGCAACAGGAGCATCGTCTGCAATGAGCCCTCGCATCTAATTATCCCACCATCATCCACTGTGGCCAGGAGGAACTTGGGGAAGCAGGGAGTCAAGGCTTCCTCCCCCCTCTCCTCCCCAGCACAGGAGTCCTGGCGCCCCAAGCCTTGTGGGCGACAAGAAGGCCTTGCAGTGCTTTATGAGGCCAATCAGCTGTTTTGAGGGAGAACCATCCCCCCCAGGAGGGCCACTGAGAACTGCCCTGAGGTTGGGGAAGGTGAAACCCCTGGAAGAAGATGGGGTGGGGGGGCAGATTCACCTACTAATTGCAAGTCAAGACCCCCTGACCTCAAGGCTCCTTCTGCAGATGGACAGGGGGTCTCCTGCAGGGCAGGGGGGCAGTGGGGGGGGGGGAGCGGTGACCACCTAAAGGGGCAGCTGCTCCTGGATTGGGTCTCTCTCCCTCCATTCTGCCAGTCTCACTTTCATCTCGCCCCTCCATTCCTTTGGTTACCATGGTTAACACCACCCAGGCGGCCTCTCTGCCCCCCCCCCCAGGATCTTCTTATCCCCCTTCCTAAACTGGGGTGGGGTGAGGGAATCGAGCAGTCGCTGCCCAGGGTGGTTTGGCCCCTCAGATTCCGCCCGCATCTGTGGGGGTCTGCAAAGCGGGGGCCAGGCCCGGGAGCCGGCTTTCTCACGGGGGCTGGTCGCAGGGCCAGGCCCGGCTCCGCAAGCGCCCAGAGGGCGGCCACAGCGTCCATCGGCCACTTCCACTGGGGAGGGAGGGGAAGACTCGGCGGAGGAGCTCGGGGCCAGTCGCTCCTAAGGCTCGTCTTTCTCACAGCGCTGCCCGTACGGTTGGGATCTCCTCGTGGTTTCCCCTCCAGGCAATTCCCCGGTTTCATCCGCCGTGGCTCTTTCGAGGCTGCGTTAGTCGTTTCTAGATTCCCGGGTTGAGCCTCGCCTCGGTCGGGCACCGGGGACGGAAGGGGGGCGCCTCCAGGGGAGCCCCAGAGCCCTCAGCACACGCTCAGAGGCGCCTTCCGCAGGCGGCGTCCCTCACGGCCGCCCCCTCCACCCCGGCGCACCGGAGGGGCCCGGGCGGAACGAGACGCGCGCAGCCGCCCCAGGAAGAGCGCTGCCTGCCCGGCCCAGCAGGCGGCGCTCCGTCAGGTTAAGAGTCCGGCGAGGGCGCCCTCCGTCCCGCGGCGTCTCAGGCCGGGCTGCCGTGCGCGGTGGCTGGGCGGCGCTTCGGCTGCGCTCGGCCGGCGGCCACGGCGGCCCCAGACTGGCCCGGCCCCAGCGGCCTGGACGCCCTGCCCACCCGGCGCCCCTCTGCGTGTCCGGCCACGGGCGCCTTCCCGGAGGGCCCCGGCTGCCGCCCCTCGCCCGCCCCGGCAGGTGCTGCTCCCCGAGAGGCCGCTGGGAGGCCGCGCCGGAGCTGCCGGGCGGCGCGACTCTTATTTTGACACGGCGGCGGCGGCGCCTGCCCGGAGTGGCTCCTCGCCCGGGGCGCAGCCAGCGCGCTCGGCCCCCAAATGAGCGGGCGGCGGCGGCGGGCGGCGGCGGCGGCAGGAGGAGGACGCGGCGGGCGCTGCTGCCCGGGGACACCGGCGGCTTCTGTGCGGAGCGAGGCCGGGCCGGGCGCCGCGGCGGCGGCGACAACGCGAAGGGGCGGCGCGAGGACCCTCCCGGACCGCCCGACTGCCCGGTGCTGAGCGGCGCGGCCCGGCAAACGAAAGCGAAAGAGGCACCGCGCGGACCCCCGCGCCCTCCGCCCCCCGCGCGACCGGCGGGAGCCTCGCCACGGCCTCCCCCGAGCAGGTAAGCCAGCGCCGCGCTGCGGGCCGGGACGGTCATTGTCCGCCCAGCCGCCGCCGCCCGGGACGGCGCTCGCGTGGCCGCGCTGTCAGCGGCGGAGGGCGGGCCGAGCGGGGCGCGGGCTCCGCGCTGCTGGTACCGGAGGCGGGCGGGAGGCGCCGGCCGAGCGGGCGGCGTATGCGCCCCCCCCCCGGCCCATCGCGGCCTGCCGACCACCAGCCCGGCGGTAGCGAGCGAGGGAGAGGCCCGGCCCGCGACTCCCGGCCCGGATGCCGCCTCTGTGTTTCCGCCGAGGCCCCGCGGCTGGTGGGCCACGATCCCTGCCCTGCCGGGACTGCGCCGCCGCTCTCCTCGCCGGGACCGTGGCTGGCTCTTCCCGGCCGCCGCTGTCATCTTGTCCGGCGGGGAGCCCGGCGCCCTCGGTGCCGCCTTCGCCCTTCGGGCCGGCGGCGCTGTTAGGCGGCGCGATGGCTTCCTGGCCCAGCGCGGGGCCTGTGGCGGAAGCCGAGGGAAGCCGGGGGCCGCGCCGTTGCGGCTGGATTGGGTTGCCGTCCCACCGGCGGAGCAGGAAAGAGGCTTCCGGCGGGCCCGGATAGGGCGACGTTTCTCCAGCGGTTTCTGGCCCGTCGCCCCGCTCGGCTCCTAGCACCCCGGCCCAGGCGGACTCTTGGACTGCCCTTCCGGGTGCAGCGCCGCCAGGCAGCGGGCTCCCTGTCGGAGCCTTGGCTGAGCGCCCCCCCCCCCCCGGATTGGCGAGGGCGGCGGAATGCCCGCGTTCATTTAGGCCTTCCACTGCCGAGTAGGGGGCTGATCTCCCCTCTGCCCAAAGAGCGTTGCCTGTGTGGGAGCACCTGCCATGTGGCCTTTGGTAGGGCTGGTGCCACTTCCATGTGGTTGCCCCGTCTCCTTTCCTTGCTGCCTTGGCACGATGAAGCTGGCTGCGCATTCTTTCTTCAAGGGCCAAGTGGTACAGGGGATGCCCAGAGCCAGGTGGGCTTGAATGCCCCCCCCCCCATTGTTGGACAGCCTGCTTCTGGCATCTCTCCTGGCTCTACCAGTCAGCTTCAGCTTGCTCTGCTGCCACCCCAAGTGACCAGACTGAGGTTTGGGGCCTGCGTCTTGAGGTTGGGGTTTAGGCTGCATCTCCCCATTCCATGCGTTGGATGGCTCTCTCACCCTGCCCTATTGTAAATACACCCAAGAACCAGCTTCTGGCTGGGCCTCCGGTGGTTGTGGGGTGAGGATGCAAAGGGATTAGCTGTGGGTTGTGTGTGCATGTTGGTCAGGTGGGATTGCTGACCATGTTGGTCAGCCGGCTGACCTGCTCCTTCTGGGGATGGAAGTTTGGTGGGTGCCCTTAATTTTTGCACTGGCAGAAGAGTTGGTCCGAGGGTGCCTTCGGGTTACTTAACATGGCTCCTTTCTAGGCTCATGCAGGCTTCTCTCCTTTCTCGCTGCTTCTTCAGGAGGCTCTCAGACCCCCACCCCGATTTGGCCCAGGCTGGGTCTCTGGAGCGCTCCATCCCGGCAGTGCTGCTTTGGGGTGTGGGCGGGGGAGGCTGCTCTTTCGGGCATCCCTTTGCACTCATCAGAACTGCAGAGCTGAGGATGGTTGGATGGTGAGCGCCCAGACTTTGGGGGAGCTGGCTTAGGCAGAGGAGCCTCACCTGCCACGTTGCCCTAGCACCTGTGAAACAAAAAGAGTGGGTGCTGGGAGCAATAGGTCAGTGAGCAGCTTGAAAGCTGCCTTGCCCTGCCTGCCTGCCTGCCTGCCTGGAAGGGCCTGGAGTGACCTCCCCCAGTTGGAGGAAGGGGGAGCAGAATGCCCAGGTGGCCTGGCTCCTCTCCTGCCTCAGGGAGTCCCTCCTGGGTGATGAAACCACAGAGGGGGTAGAGTGTGTGGCTTGGAACTGCCCCCTCCCCCTATAAGAAGACTTTGGCCAGAGCCCGGCTCCGCTTGGTGGCCAGAAGCAACAGGGTGGAATTTCCTCTGCCTTGGGCCAGCTCATCTCAGGCCGGTGGCCAGTGTGTCTGTGACGACAGGCCAGACTAAGAGTGGGGGGAGTGGAGACTGGAGCCAAGAGCACCCACCCACCCACCCCTTAGGCCTGGTTCGTATTTTCTCATCCAGGCTGGGCTGTTTTACATTAGGCGGCCCCCTCTCCCTCCAGGGTTCCCCATGCAGCCACTAATGAGCTGAGCCTTCCTGCCCCCCCCTCCAACACACACACACACACACACACACGGTTTTTGGCTGTGCTTGGGACATTTTATAGTTTTTTCTGGAGGGAGGAAATGCCAGGAAGGGCTGTCTCTTGCTTTTGTGAGGGGTGTCCCCACTATAAGGGGAGAGGCTGTGACTGGAGTCTCAGCAGAGGGCCCCCTGCCTGGGCAGCAGCCTGGTCCCAGGAAAGGCCAGAGGTGCCCCAGAGAGCCGAGGCTTGGGCCTGGCAAAGGAACCATTGTGGACAGGTGGCAGAGGGTGGCTGAAGAGATTATGGGGTAGCTTTACCCAGGAGGCTTGGCCCAGGCCAGGCGCAGTTCATGCTTGATTGGAGGCTGTTTGCTGGAGATGCTGAGAGTGAAGAAGAGTAAGCAGGGAGGCAGGCTCAGGACATCAGGCAGTTTTATAAGATCCATTTCCTGCTGAGTACATGCATGCATTTTGTGGCTGCTCTTTGGATCCACTGCCTCTCTCCCAGAGCCCCTGCGTGGCTTGGTGTTGGGGACAGATGCCTAGGACTCCTTTGGCATCCCACTGCATGCCACTTGTGCAGTGCCCTTCCTTGGGTGGGTTTGCTAAACTTTCTTTGGCTGCAGGAGGGCCAAGCGGCCTCTTGTCCGGGCAGCCTGGCTGCTGGAATAGACAGCAGACCAGGTGCACAACATAGGCTCCTGGGTGGCTCCTGAAAGGGCCGTCTCGGACACCGTAGGGATGGCGGAGGCGGGGTAAGATTGGGGCAGCAGAGAGAAAGGTTTGTGGAGCTCGACGTAGCGAACAGGCCTGATCTTCTCTGCCTGCTGTTCTGCTTGGTGGGCTTCCCCCACCCTGGTCCTCTTGGAAGGAGCCTGGAGAAGAAGAGCATCTCGTGCTCTGCTCCCTCGTCCTCCGGCTGATCTGCGCCCAGCCTCTCTCCATGGGGTTCCCTGTCTGTGTGCTGGTCTTTTATTTCCCCTGCATTCTGAGAGCACTGCTGTGGACATCTTGATCTGCAGTCTTGGTGCACCGTTTAGAGCAGCTGCCTTTAGGGCTTCCTTTTGTCAGAATTCCGTTTCCAGGGCATTTTTATTAGACTAAACGGAAGCTACAGAAATCTTGTTGGAAAGATTCCCCCCCCCCCCCCCCCAAAGCATGCATCACCCCCACCTTTTGCCTTTCTGCAGAGCGGTGCGTTTTCTTTTGCCTCTGCAACGGGAAGAAGGGAGGGGTAGGAAGCTGTGGGGTACCAACCCTCCCCAAGGGGAAAAATCTTTCTTGTCACAGAAGCTGATTCACCCCGTGGCGTCCTCGGCCTGATAGGAGTTTGGGACAACAGAGTTTGTAGCCCAGTGTCCTCATGTGAACCGGGGGAGCCACTCTCCTTCCCTGCCTTTCCTGGTCATTTAAGACCTGTATTCTTCCCCTCATTATGGGCGAACTCCACCGTTTCCTCATTATGCCTCAGGTCTTGCTGGCAACTTTTTTGTAATGCAGTCCTACCAAGCCGAAGAAAATGGTAGGCACCAGCACACCCTGCCATTCTCCTGGCAGTTTCTCAGTCACTCCCTGGCACGTGGTACACCTGCTGGGCTCCCTTTCTCTTACAAAACCAGCTCCCTACAGGAGAGAGAGATGGCTTTTTGTGGCAAACGCCACAGCCAACTGCTGCATGTGGAGAGGGTCACCTTGGCATGGCTGCACTGCAGGAGGTCAAGCAGTTGGCATCAGAGCCTTACAAAGCTCTTAACAGAATAACGGCACTGGAAGGGACCTTGGAGGTCCTATAGTCCAGCCCCTGCTCAAGCAAGAGACTCTACGCCATTTCAGACAAATGTCTGTCCGGTCCCTTCTTAAAACCTCCAGTTATGGAGCACCCACAACTTCTGAAAGCAAGCCATTCGTTCCACAGATTTACTGATTTCACCATTCAGAAGTTTCTCCTTAGTTCTAGGTTGCTTGTCTCCTTAATTAGTTTCCATCTGTTGCTTCCAGTGCTTTGGAGAATAAGTTGGCCTCCTTTTCTCTGTGGTGTTCGTTCCCCTGAGATATTGGAAGACTGCTATCATCTCACCCCCAGGCCTTCTTTTCATTAAACTAGACATACCCAAATCCCGCAACCGTTCGCGTGTTAGCCTTCAGCCCCCTAGTTATCTTTGTTGCTCTTTTCTACACACTTTCCAGAGTCTCAACATTTTTTTTATATTGTGACAACCAAAATTGGATGCAATATTCCACGTCTGGTCTTACCAAAGCATCATAAATTGGTATGAACACTTCATGTTATCTTGATTCTGTCTCTCAGTGATGTAGCCTAGGATTGCATTGGCTTTTTTGGCAGCTGCAACACACTGCTGGCTCATATTTAAATGATTGTCCATTAGGACTCCAAGATCCCTGTAGCCCGAGGGGTGTGTGTGTGTCAAACTCACATTGTCACGTGATGTTTGGGGACTTTTTCCCCCTTCGCTAAACTGGGCGTGGGCGTGGCCAGCACATGACACATCCGGCCCACAGGCTGGGAGTTTGACAGCCCTGCTCTAGCCCCTTTGCTATTGGGCCAAGTTTCACCTCAGGTGTACATTTGGTTTTTCTTGCCTAAGTGTAAAACTTTACTTTTCTCCACATTGACTTTCATTTTGTTAGATAGGGCCAACTGTTCAAATTTGTTGAGATACATCTGGATTTTGAGCCTATCTTCTGGATTATTGACTATTCCATCTACAAATTTGATGAGTTCTCTTTCTATCCTCTCTATCCTTGGAACCTGACAACCTGTCATTTATGAAGATATTGAAGAGTACTGGACCTAAAACAGAGCCTTGGAGTACCCTGGTTCTTACTTCCCTCCATGTAGACTTATTAGTTTCATTAAGGACTATAGATTGAGTGCAGTTTATCAGCCATTACAAATCCATCTGGTGGTGATGCTGTTTAACCCATATTTTCGTAGCTTACCAAGAAGTAGGTTGTGGTCTACTTTTGTCAAATGCCTAGTATATCCAAGTATCCTATGTCCAGAGCATTTTGCTGCTCTACTAGCTTTGTCACTTTGTCAAAGGATGAAATGCGATTTCATTGTTCGGCATGATCTGTTTTTGACAAACCGATGTTGGCTTCTGGTTATTGCTTTGCTTGCTTCTAGCTGTTCCCAGATCTATTGCTTGATTCTCTTTTCCAGGATCTTCCCAGGTGCTGATGTCTGATTGGATCTGGGTTTTTTCCCTTTTTTTGAAGATGGGAACCATATCAACTCTTTTCCAGTCCTCTGATAGTTCCCTGGTGCTTCAGGATCTTTGAAAGATGTGGTTCAGTGGTTCCAAGATCAGGCCTGCCAGCTTCTTCATAACTCTGGGATGTAATCCATCAGGTGCCGGTGATCTTACCATTTTCTTGCCTTTTTCAGTTTGAATTGCTTGCCTGTCTTTTATGGTTTTGGTAAGTTGGGCTATTTTTTTCTTTTTGTGTGAAAACAAGATGCAAAGAAAAAATTTAAGCAGCTCTGCTTTCTTCCTGCTACCAATCACTTCCTTAGCATCTTCTCTCCTTAGTGGACTGATTGTTTGACTTCTTTCTTGTTTTTTAAAATGTTGAAAGAAACTTTTTTTAAAATTATTTTTGACATTTGTTGCAAGTCTTCATTCTGAACCTTAGCTTTCCTAGCCTCATTTTTTCAAATTCAGGCTCTATGCTGGTGTTCTGCCTTAGTTATCTTTCCATTTTTTATACTTATCCTTTTTTAGTTTATCAGAGAATTATTTGTGCATCCACGCTGGTTTCTTCTTGGATTTCTTATTTTTCTTTTTTCAGTGGTATTGTGCTGGATTGGGCTTTTATAATAATATTTTTCACAGTTTCCCAAGCTTCTTGCGTTGCTTTCCCCTTTAAGATTTTCATCACAGAATCCTTCCCTTGAAATAGCAATGGCATTTAGACTTATATATCACTTCCCAATGCCTTCGCTAAGTGGTTTACAGAGTCGGCATATTTCCCCCAACTATTCTCATCGGCTTTTAAAGTCTGGATTGATTATGTTCTATTGCTTTATATTGTCTGCATCATCTTGAACTCTGATATGACACGGTCACCCTCCCCCAAAGTTCCTGTAACTTCAACCCCCTCTATCATTTCATCTCTATTAGTAAGAATTAAGTCCAATATAGCTGCCTCTCTAGTTCTCTCCTCTACCTTTTGGATGACAAAGTTGCCAGCTAGGTTGACTAGGAATTTGTTCTATCTCGCACTTGATGCCGAGTTGATGACAGGGTAGTTAAAGTCCCCCATTACTACTGTGGTGGCTTTCCTACATACATTTGTTAACCAGTTAGCAAAAAGTTCATCTATTTCTTCTGCTTGGTTGGGTGGTCGTTATGTAGTATACACCTATAGCAATGTCATTCTTTTTTGCCCTTTCGTCTTAACCCACAGGCATTCTAGGAGGCTTTCGTCCTTGGTTTGTGCATTCCTGTAGTGATCTCTTGCTCATTGCTGCCTGGGCTCAGAGCTCTGGTCACCCCATGGCAGCCCAAACATTCCTCTCACAGGACCTGAAGTGGAACCATGGCTGGTGCAGGGCGGGGGGAGTGGTAGGAGTGGGTTATTCAGACCCATCCTTGAAGAGTCTCTGAGCATGTGGAGAATCCCAGTTGGCCAGGGCTTTACATTGCAGACCCCGGAGGGCCTTAGGGGTGTTCATGGCTTGCTGCCCAGACCTGATGCTCCCATTGCTGGGCCTGCCCTGGGCCAGGCAACGGGGGGGGTAGGAACCGTTTGCTCCGGTTGGCCTCTTTCCCAGAATAGCCACACCAATAGCACTTAGACTTCTATATGGCTTCACAGGGCTTTGCCCCCAACAATCTGGGTCCTCATTTTACCCACCTCGGAAGGATGGAGGGCTGAGTCAACCTGGACTGCTAGGGAGAAGTGGCGACCGTTGACCCCGGCGCAAACTCAGGCCCACACATGAGGTGGCGTGGCATGCCCTGAGCGGCTGGTGCCCCAGCATTTCCCACTCAGGAAAGGGGCCAGCTTCCTTCCAGGCCCTGCTGCCTGGGCCCTTCTTTGCTGCACCCTCAGGTCTCCTGGGCCCAGGCAGCAGGCTGCGCTTCCCTCCCTCAGAGGCCAGACCGGGGCTCTGAGGAGCCAGTTGGGCCAAGCAGTTTGGATCACGGCCACAGGGCGAAGAGCTCTCCGGAGCCAGGAATGGCAGCCTTGTCAAGGAGAAGCCATGCCACGTCCTGACACTCCAGGTGGGGGGGGGGGGGGGGAGGGGGCGGGGGGTGGTACCACCCTGTGCAGGATCTTTCCCTCCCGGTGCCCGCAGGCGTTCTGGGTGAGCTGGGCATGGCAGCAGACCCAGCCAGCTGAGTCAGGGAGCTGGCTGGCTCCCAGAAATCAGAGTGCGGTTTCTCCCTTTCCCTCCAGCCTGGATTTTTTCCCACCTTCACTAAGCGACAGTCTTGTGTATGCACAACAAAGGCCTGCTTGCCTTGGCTCCTCTGGGGCTGGATCCGGCATGAGTCAACTGGATCCCAGTGGGGCAGGAGTGCGCAGGGCAGCCCTATGCCAGGGGATTTTGTTCTCCATCCGCGCTGGCCGGCATGGGACCTTCATGGCACAGGGCCCTGTAGCCCCAGGGCCTCCTGCTTCCAGCCCTCCAGTCTGGCACAACTGGGAGGGAAGCTGGTTTTCAAAGTTGGAGCGGTTTCTTAAGGCCTGGGCCAAGGGGGCAGCAGCAGATCTATTGTCTTTCAGCCCGTCGTTCATCTGGGGCAGCGGGAGTGGAGCAAACTCCCCCCCCAACTGAAGATTGGCTGCTGGTGATCCTTCCCGGAGAGCTGAATCAGAGTTTTGTGACTTGGCAAGTGTGGGGGAGGGGCGCCCTTCTCCTTTCCAACTGCTGCCTTGGGGGTTGTGCCTTGAGAGTGGAACTTGGCCCTGGGAAGCTTCCGCCAGTCTTCCCCCAGCAGATTTTCCTGGCGGGAAAAGCTCTGATCGGAAAATGGCGCCTCCGCTTGGGCAAGGACGGGGCTGTTGCACAATCGGGGGTTGAGCGGAGGGGTGGGTTGCTGGCAGAGGCTAGACCAAACAAACCTTGGCATCTGGCTGGGGCGAGCCGGATCCTGGCACCAAGGAATCCCAGACGCCTCTCCAGCCTGGCTTTGAAGGAACTGCAGGAGGAATCGGAGAGCCTTCCTTCACAACGTTTGCTTCCTTCTCAGAACTTGCAGAATGTTCTGGGCCTGTTCCCACTCCAGGCAGAGAAGAATGTGATCTTTGTATGAGCCAAGGCTTCTTGGGAGCTTCGCTAAAGATGGTCTCTCTTCAGGCTTCGACCTACTTAGCACATTGCTGTGGGTTGCAGAGACCTCGAGTGACGCGGACTCCGAGACAGGCATGGCCTTGCCTGAGCTGAGCGGGCAGAGGGAGATGGCTTCACATTGGCCTCTCCCCAGTTGGAGACTCGCTTGCTAGGACTACCCCCCCCCCCCCCACCTCTGCCTCAGTTCCTCAGGCGTCAGCTCAACCTACGGTCCCTGGATCAGGCGGGAGGCTAGGAAGAGGGGAGCGGTTGCTAGGTGGAATCCCGGAATGGCCCAGGCGTTGGAGGAGGAGGAGGCTGCCTGCCAGGGTTGGTGGTCGCTTGTGTCTTCGGAGAGATTCCCTGGGCCCTCTCTGGCTTCTGAGCCACACCCCTTTCCTGCCACTTTCCCAGGGAGCCAGGGCTGGGGCTCTCTCTGCCCTGGTGTCCCCTCAAGCTGCAAGGAGTAGCTAGCCTGGAGGGAGAGGCTAGCATTGGTGGCGGGGTGGGGGTGGGATTCCTTCTCCTTCCCTCGCCTTAAGGGAAGCAAGAGAGGCCTGCAGGACCCTGAGATGGGCCTGTGTCTGTGAGAGTACGCAGCCCGCAGCAGCCCGTGAAAGCATGGCGTGTGGCCCCTGGGCCAGGCTGGGTAGGTGCGGAACTGGGCCTGTGGGGGCTGGTCTGGCAGGGGAGAGGCCTGGGCTTGGCCCAGAGACTCGTTGCAAGTCCTGAACAGGAATCCGGGTGCCATTCCCAGCCTCCCCCCCCCCCCCCCCCCCC